CTCAAAAAAGTTGCTAAATAGAGTCACAACAATTGTATTCAAGTGTCATTTTTTTAAAAATGGCTCCAAAAGACCTCTCAATATGACTTTGAAGAAAAAATTATTTCTTTAAATGTGTTTGTTAAAAAGAATTTTACATACAATATTGCTCGATTCTCTAATACTCATAGTGTCAGAAAAAAAAGATTTTAAAAGTCAAAATGCCCTTTGACCAAATTACCTAACAATATTTAAACAAATTTATTTAAATATAATATTATTAAATATCTCTTAATATAATGATATAAATTTATTAATTTATTATTAAGAAAGAATTTGGATTTATTTTCCAATACTATTTTTAAAATAAATGTATACCATTTATCCTTAAAATTTAATGTTAAAAGTTTCAGATCTTACACAACTCAAATTTTACATATTTATAACCACAAACCGTCTTGATAAAATTTATCTTATTCGAAGATATTATTGCACTGGTTGAAAAATAAAGTTTTTAAGCGAACAGTCTTATAAGCAAAGCATTTTTGTAATACTTTAATTTTGAATAAAATGCTTTATTCTATTTTGCACACATTTGTAGTGATATTGATTGTGTTTACACTACAAGATTAATTTTCATGATAAAATATAGACGAATTTTCAATAGAATATAAAGCACTTTGCATGGTGTTCAGACCCTTAGATTTCTTAAATAATCCGCAATTTCAAATGCAAGGAACAAATTTAGTTAAATATGAAATTTTATTTTTACAACAAATAAAAATATATACTGAGCGATTGATGTGTGAAAATCATTCAAAAGAATAAGCATCGAATTAATATTTGTTCGCTCGCAAAAAGCAAACGATTTAAAAACAAAAACATACCACAGCGCCATTTTTTGTTCAACACATTTTTTTTTCAATGAGTGGCTCAAATTCCGACAATTTTAGCTTTGATGCTATCACTCAAAATTGAATCTAATTGTTTTTAAAAGATATGTTTCAAGATTAAAATTCGTTAGTTTGTGCTGAATCCGTTAGAAACGATTTCACATGCCTTTGCTTCATAAAAAAGCTTTGTTCTACTTTCATTAAATGTTATTTGTTTGATGTTAATTTTTTATGTTTAATTACTTAGTTGCAATATAATTATTTAGTGAAAAACGACAAAAAACTGCATATCCTATGCCACATCTTTAAAAATAATAGCCCATTCTGACATTGTTTGAATTTATAAACGAAGAACTCATGACGATGATGTCACCAAAAATTGAATAGTTCAAAAAGTGATCACTTTTGAGAAATCTTGCTTCTAAACTCGCAAATGATTTCATTCTTTTATGGTTTGTTTCATAACCTTAGCGTTTTTTTTTCTTTCTAAAAGTGTTATGAATAATAATCTCGTGATTTTAAGAAGCTTTGAACTATTGTAGTGGTTATTTTATAAGTAGAATGGAAGATGCGAGTCCTACTTATTTTGTTTTCGTACACAAAAGCTCTTATATTTGCGAATAAACTCCTATTTGTGATTTAAGTGAAATTAGAATAAGTTAGTATTTTATTACTGACGATTAAAGAAAATTTATATGCTTTGAGTTCACTTTCCTTGTTCTATTTTTTAGGTTTATTTAATTTTTTTGTTTAAGGCTCTTTCGTTTTCAAATACTTATCGAGTGTTAACTTTTTATTGCCAAGTCAATGTTGTTTCATTTTAATCACTTTTTTTTCTAAGTCTCTGTTCGTTTTGATGATAATGCACCCCAACAACTATATTTTTAGGTGGTTTTTATTTTCGTATTTAGATTGATTGATTTTGCAAAGCGATTAATGTTTTTGCTCAGTTTTAATATTGTAGGCTTTTTTTAATAAATACATAATTTTTTAAGAGTTTAGAAATTAGAATAATTGAAGTTTTATTTCAATTCAAAGTCTTGATTTTTAATTACAAATATGCACTGGATACTTCCAAAACTATTCTAATAGTGAAATTTACTTGATGCAATAAATATTCAGTATTTGAACAGAAACCGAAAAATTCGGTTGAAGATTACTAACATTATTTAATATCATATCAATTCATATATATCAAAATACAGAACTATTTAAATTATATGTGAGTTAACACAATAATAAAATTAAACAATTTTTAAATTTATTATAAAATTTTATTTTAAATAATAAGTACAACTTTATTTTTGATTTAATAATTATATTTATTCTTATAAATGAATATAAATGTAATGAGTCTTCGATTTAAATGAAAAATTAACAATATTCGTAAAAATATAGAGCTATTTAAAATATTAAAAAAAAATTTAAAGCAAAACATAATGCATGGGAAGGAATAAGCTTTAAAGATGAATATTTGCTCTGATTTAATTAAAAATGAAAGTCTTCGATACTAGAATAGAAGGAATAAATATTTTTTAAGAAATGTATTCGTTACCTGTTCCATTTCAAAGAGAGTTAAATATGCATTAATTGGCCAAAGACAATTTAGCATATAATAGGGTAGAGTGGGTTCAATTGTAACAGGGTACGATTGTAACAAAGCAAAAATTTCGAATGTCGGGTTCTAGATTTGGTTCTTATGTGGCGCACAAGGTGTATTTAATAAATCTACATGTACACCCCTGCTGGCAACCATTTTTATGCACTTTTGAAAGAGTTACATCACAAAAGATATTTTCCCGCTACGTGAGTACTTTTTTTGGTATTAGAATATTATATTGTAACAAAGTAATTTTGTTTAAACAAATAAAAATTATTAACTGAATATGTAAGTAAACACCTTAATTAACATTTAAAAAAAAAAGATTAGTTTTGTTAATTAACTAGCATTGTTTTTAACAAATGAAGCTGAAATGGCGTCTTGGGAACGATTGTAACAATAAGTAAAGGGGCGATTGTAACAGCTGAAAATAATTAATCTTATGTTTACAAACCATTACTTAACTCTTTAAGAACCACCAATAGTTTCCTATATCATTTATATTATGTTGCATGCGCATTATTTTATTTGTCATTTTTCACAGCATAAATTAAAATTTTTAACCCCTTAAAGTTAAAAGTTTAACCTTTTAGGTCTTTGCTCATTTTTATTTTCACTCCTAAAATATCACTACTATTTTGATCAGTAAAAAATATATCACAACTATGATAATATGTATAATTAACTATGTTTTAGTTGAATTTATGAACTGTTGCAATTGACCCCGTAAGCGGGGACAATTGTAACAAGTGCACGACTGTCAAAAATTGTTAATAACTAACATAATAACATTTAAAATAAGGTTTTTTCTTTCTAGTAGAGGATAGTCTACTTTACTCGTCTGTCAATTAATACTAATAATATATTGGATTTTTGTTAGTTAAAAATAGTTAAGTAAAAAATGTTACAATTGACCCCACTCTCCCCTACTGTTTATGAATTTCAATTTTAATAATAAATTCAAAGGAGCTATTATTTTTTTAAATAAAACTTCCATACAACACGTTTTAATTTATAAATAAAATAATAAAGCTGGTTCAAGTTATAATTACTAAAGTATCTTTAAAAACTGAAGTTTATTATTACCAGGGGCGGCAAATTTCTTCCAAGGTGGAAAAAGCCGTGGAAAAAATCTATAACCCATGTTGAAGCGATAAAATATGCTCATTTTAAAAAAGGAAATATCAAGCAATTAAATTTTAAGCAGTTTTAATTGAAATCTCGTTATAGTATTAATTTCCAACTCTATCAAAAAATTTTGTTGATTATAAAAAACAAATATTGAAAAGAAAATAAATTTAATAGTTACCTTAAGAAATTGAAAGAGTAATTTTTAAACAAAAGAGTATATTAGAATATTATTTGGAAATATTTACGTATCATAATATAAGCATTCCGAACCACAAAACAGACATAAGAATTTTCAATCAGTAATTACCGAATTTCAATTTTTAATCGATGATTAATTGTATAAAATCTAAAGAAATTTCATAAAATCGAGAATGATTATTTGAAAGCGACATACAATTATAGAGTATTTACTTAAAATAAAACTTGTAAATTTTAAATTTAAATATCATAGCAAAGTTTTTTTTCTGATATTTTCGTGGTTTTACAATATTTTGCTCAGGATTCACTAATATTAAAATTTTATGGTAAAAGATATAATTAATAGTTAATAATTAATAGTTAAGCTACATCAGTTTGTTTACTATTAACAATAACTATTTATAATTTCTCAAAAAAATAGTCAAAAAAATTAGCAAAATAATACTTTTCAAAATAAATTAATTTTAACTATCCATTAAATAAAATTGTAAAATAAATATATTTGGTTATTCTTAGTTTCCTTCAGTTTTTTTTTTTTTTTTTTTTTTTTTTTTTTTTTTTTTTTTTTTTTTTTCATTTTTTTCACTTTCGTCCAGTGTTTTGGACTGAAAGAAATAAGTATGTTCCGGACAGAATGCCAACTTTGATTATAACAGATAACAACTCGCAAACTAAAACTTATAAGTTAGTGAAAATGAACAATAAGAAATCATTCAAAGCATCTTCCGATAAAATAATTTAATACTTAAAAGCTGAATATTTTCATAAGGGTACAAAAAAAATATTTTTAAAAAATTGCCCTATATATATACCATTGACTAAGATTTATTTTAACAAGAATTGTGTGAATGTGTGTGTTGTGACGTCAATGCATGATTCTAAAAAGGTTACTTTGTCCAACTTTTGATAAGAATAATAGAAATTTTGCCAAGGAATCTCTATTTTTTTTGTTAATTTTCTATTTCTCTGTCAATTCTTTTGACAAAAAATTACTAAACGTTAGAAGAGCGGAGATAAATAGAATCTTCGTTTTTGGATTTAGTACAATTTTACTTAATTTATTAAAAGAGGTGTATTTCGAAATAGAAAAAGTTATAAGTTCTTCAGTTACAATTTGTTTTATTAGATTAGTCATACTTTGTTTTACTATTTTTAGTGAACTATAAATATTTTCAAATAATGATAATATAATTATGCATGCTTTGTAATAGTCGTAAAATTGAATTCAGTTTTACTTCCATTTCTGCTGACATTTCATTGTGCACACAGATGGTTATAAAAATTGAATACAGCTTATTTATGGTTATTAAACATATTATTCCGATATGGAACTATATTTTACCATTATTCAAAATTATGTTTTAATATAATACTTAAAATCGCTGATATAAATCATCATTGCCACTAAATAGAGCCAACTAAATTGCTTCTGCAATCAGAAAATATCTGAAGACTCAAGAAAATGAAATACTTATTCTTGCTGCTCGCCCTTCTTGCTGTTGTAGTACAATTAGCCAGTGCTGAATTAGTAATAGACGCATCCAGTGAGTATAATATTTCCTCTTCTGCCTTTCCTTTATATATATATATATATATATATTTAAAATNCCAGAGCCTTAGTAACATAGACGAGACGGCTGAATAACCTTACCAAATTTTATATGCCCCTCATTTGGTACCCAAAATAAATTTATTAAAAGACTTGGTGAATTAAAAAAAACATAAGATTATAATGTCTATCAATATGCAGTCCACTTTAATTAATAAACTGTAGTTATTTTTCATTCAATTTTCAAACTACTAAAATAATATATATATATATATATATGTGTAATATCTAAAATACTAGCTTAATAAAATTAAAAGAATCTCTAGAGACTAAACTCAAAAAGAATTATATCTATCTGCAGATAAGCAGATCTGAGAAACATTAAGATTTCTCTTTCACATACTTGACTTAGCTCTTCGCGTATATAGTGAGTTCCGTTGAATAGCGATGAAATCTTTATTTATAAAATGAATTCACACCTCACAGTAAAATATCTTAAAGAAACCAAATTCCCATTAAAATCAAGACTATGTTGAGATATTAGTTCATCTCCATCAGGTCTTAAGATCTTCCAGACGCCGGTTCTAACATCTGGATTTTATAGATCACATGACATGAACATATGTTACGCGAAAAAGTGTACACTTATATTTTGGAAATGAAACGGTAAAGATGTGTCTCGGAGCCTCTGCTCCGTTTGTATATTATTTGTAAATAGATTTCCTTATTCTTTTCTTCAATAAAAGTATAGAAAATTCGTTTTGTTGTCATCCTTATAGGAAAGGATATTAAAAATAAAAAAATGACTGCAAATTCTACGAAATGCAATATAATGATAAATTAACAGCCACGGCTCAAGAGTTTACGAGAAAAAATAGAGAAGGAGCACTACATATATATATATATATATATATATAAATTGCTTCTTAATTATTTCTGTATTTATTTGTTTATATTGTTATTCAACAAAAAACTAAAACATTTTCTAAATGCTCTTTTATTGCTATTCATTTCATTCCAGAGGCCGAGATGCGTCGTCCAAACTGCAATTTTGTCGGAAAATGTGAGCCACCTTGCCGAATAGAAGCTTTACTTGGATGTGAATCTTGTGTTTGCGGAGGTCCCTCCTTCAATGCTTGATTAAGTGTAATCTATACAAAGATGACGAGTTATTCCTATAGTATATTAACTGTGCACTCAAAAAGGCGGCACGTAATGGCTCTTTGCAATGCTCCAATATAAAAAACTCTCAATTCACAATCTTATTCCTTTTCTATATTATTTTCGATTCAAATAAATAAAAATTGATAGTTCATTTTGTTACAGTAGCAATACTTCTGATCCTTTTGCATGGATTCTTCTTAGATTACATATTTGACTTCAAAATAACGCAAAATTAATTTGCATTAACAGTAATTCAATAATTCAATTAATCTAGGATGTTCTGTAACCACCACTCTTGATAAACTTTTCTTTCCTTCAATTATCCATTGATATATTTAAAATCCTTGTTAAAATACTGTTCAAATATAAATTGATCCAACTTGTGTTGCAAATTATTATATGAGAGATATAAAAAAAATTGGCTCTCGGATTGCCTTTGAGAAAATTAATCTGTTTTTCTGCTGAATTAGACTAAGAAAAAGAGAAAAGTGATTATTTGAAATACCTGCAAATTTCAGTCTATAATCAAACAGAATTTGAAGTTTTGAAACTAACAACAACAGAAAATAGTATTTTTTTTCCTCAAACTAAAATTTGGTACTCAGTGTCCTTCAGGTGCTGATTTTTACCTATCACGAACCAATGTAAGAAAAACGCTTTTAAAAATATTTTTTTAAATCATAAGTAACATGAAAATTGGTTTTTCTGAAAATTTACATACATAATTTTTTTATTCTTTTTTTTTTATTTTATCACCGTCGTTGAACAGTCTATCCAATTTTAAGTTTACGACTACCTAAGTTCAGCTACGTAACCTTTTAATTTTGAACTAAATTCAGAGGACAAGCAAACTCCTGGATTAAGCATTGGAGGGAAAAATAATTACTTAATACAGCTCAAAAAATGGTACATCATCTCCATACACAACCAATTAGTGAACTGACATCTGCTTTCAACAATACATATCTTATATACAGATTCCATAATGACGTCACTTACGTTGTCTGAAAAGCAAATACATGTTGCCAACACAAACACACGACCAAATGTTAATTTAATGTGTTCAGAGGAGTAACAAACCACCCCAACACCCTAACGTAGAGATATCTTTTTTTATTTTTCCTCCACTGCACAGTTTATGTTCGTTACGTCGTATTAGTAAATTGATCCCTGAGGCATTCTCTTTTCTAGAGGTGTTGCATGGACCCATTTTTTTATCTCTAAAAAGTGACATTGATTTATGTTTGATACCGTCATAAGAAGATTTATATAACTGCTTTAGGCGTAATATATTTATAGACTCTATCAACTCAATTCGATTCTTATAAATTACGCACGCTTTGTTCCTTTCTTTTTCGTACAAATTCATAGAAATGTTGTTGATTTTTTTTTAGAATTATTTATGAAAAAACTTCCATTAATTAACCGTAATGAAATTTTACTGTTTAATTTTATTAATGCTTTAAAAAATGATTGAAAATTAAATCTAATTTTTAGCTTTTTTTTACTTACTATAGGACATTTAAAGTTTTACTCAGTATTTCTTCAAATTTTAATCAAGGATGTACTGGGTACCCGGCAAACACGCAACACTCGCCCTACCCGGATAATGCCCGGACGCAGTAAATAATTTCAATTACCGGTACCGAATCCAGGCAATTTTATAGGGTTTCCAGAGTCCGGTAACAATTAATCTTTAACTCACAAGGGAAACTAGGGAAGTGTGACTCACCAATTTTGAAATAAACTAGTGGGATGTATGCCTTATGAGGAATAATTTTAGGTGGCAACATTCGTTTCGGCCCATAGAAGGTCCTGTGAGAGATAAAAAATAATTCAATATATAGAAAAATTGGTATTTTATTACTTCAATGCAGATTATTAGTTATAGTAATTGTCTCATAATGTAATTTGTAATTAATTTGCTAATTAATTAATTTGCTAATTAATAAATTAATCAGAAAGGTAATTAATTATTAATTAACCATTAATTTATAATTAACTATAATTTATTAATTAATTATTAATTAATTATAAAATAATTAATTGATTTGCAATTTCATACTCCAATTAATTTGGAAAGTTTTTTGAAAAAAAAATTAAAAATTTTGATGTCAATTTTTTTTTTAAATTAACCCTAACAGGTTTTTCTGAAAAACTACAGATATGTAAAATTTTCGAAATCAGTTTTGTGAATAAATATGTATTATATAGTACGTGAACGTACCACAAAATTAATTGGAGTATGAGATAATTACAATAACTAATAGTCTGCATTGAAGTAATAAAATACCGATTTTTCTATATAGTATTAAATTATTTTTTATCTGTCACAGGACCTTCTACGGGCCGAAACGAATGTTGACCCCAAACATTATTCCTCATAAGGCATACATCCCACTAGTTTATCTTAAAATTGGTGAGTCACACTTCTCTAGTTTCTCTTGTCAGTCACATTTAAATTTATAGTAATTTTAAGACTGTTCAAAAAAAAATATTTTCGCAATTATTTCGAATATCCATGTATTTCATCAGTTATTTAATAATCAAGCTGAAATAACTGGTTTATGCATGACATGTTTCAATTTTATACAGAATTTTATTTCAGGGAAACTTTGATAAAGCGGACGCTATTGAGAAAAAGAAATATGATCATGAAAACTGTCCGTTTAAGAGAAGTCCTTGTTAATCCTGAAATCAAATACTCAAAACTATTTTAACTAAATCAAGATGATAGTTAAATAAATACAAAATAAGAAATAGGGAATTACATTAATATTTAAAGTTAATGAAAGCATGATGATTAAAAATCAAAAGATATCTATATAAAATAAAATAGCTTTTTAAAAAAATTTAAAAGAACCACAATTTTTTTATGGCTTTGCACTTAAAAGTAAGAAATGAAATATTTAGTATAATTTATGAGTATCAAGTTGAGTCAGAGTGAGAGTTAATTTTCCTGATATTTTGTTTGTTTTATGTTAATTTTATCTTAAAAAGCGTTGCAAGAACTTCTTATAAAAGTTTTTAAAAAAACGGATGAAAAGTTGGTGGTTTATTTGAAGTTGTTTTTGTTATTCGAAACCGCTGACATTTTATCTGCTTTCTATGAAAAGTTTATAAGAAATCCTTGCAATGCATTTTAATAAAAAAAACATATAAAACAAATAAAATATCTGCAAAATTAACTCACACTATAGCAACTCGATTTGTCACTGGACTCAATTATATAAATACGGCGTTTCTTACTTTAGAAATACTAAATCAGTGACTTAGTGAAGTAATTTTTCAAACATTTCTCCCGTACGAATTCATTAATTTTTTAAAACAATTTTAGGAGTGGGGCTGAAATTGCTACTTGAAGTACATACCCAAATTTCAGAACCGCAGCACCAACGGTTCTGGAGTTATAATTGATTCGAAATAGCATGTAGGGACAAGGACAGACAGTACTATTGTGCAAACACAAAGGAAAAGTTGAAGGAAAAAAAAGGATTGTTAATGTATTAGTCGCCAACTAAATTTAATTTCAGAGGATTGAACTGTTGTAATAGATTTTTCAAGGTCAATCGAAAGAGATAAGTCCTGCAGAAAATTATTTGATTTTGTTAAATTTTGATTATCATGAGCTGACAGCGAGCAACAACGTCATGAAAAATATACAAATTACGTTTAATCTTTATATTCTTGAGATGAAGTTTTAAAAATGTGTTATTCTTATTCTAATAAGATAAAACCAGCAGCAAGGGCTATTAATAATTTTTTTTAAAAAAAGGAAATATTTTAGGTTTATTATTTGGGACGGAAATGTTCGAAGCCACCTTACCTGCTTTCGACCTTTACTGAATTAAAATTTCCACCAAATGTCAGAAAAGTATTCGTTGTTAGGATATCATCTTATATGATCTGTTTTGTTACGCAGCTTAATTAATAGTTTAGTTAACAATGCAAATATATCTGAACTCGTATCTATCTTTACTATCAGCACCAAATTTAGAAAGGCTAGAATTTATAGAAAAAAGCTTGACGAATCTTAAGAGGAAAAAGTATGAAATAAAATAATTTTAGAAAGTTTAAAAATCGAAACTTTCCTTGCACGAAGAAATGAGCAATAAGATGATAAGAGTTAATTTATAAGAATTGAGTTGATACAGTTAATTTTTATAATGATATCGATAATTTTTTCATATATTATGTTCATTTTATACATAGTTTTTCCAGAAATGTGTTAAAAGAATTTATGTAAATTTTTTAAACAAAACAAATGACCGGATGATTGCCATAGTATGAAATGCTGAAAATCGGCAGTTTACCGAGCAGCAATAATAATATCAAATAAATCACCGACTTTTCATCTGCTTTCTTTAAAAATTTTATACGGAATTCTTGTATCAATTTTTTAAGGTAACTTTTATATAAAATGAATAAAAAACCTGAAAATTTAATTAAGATTATCAACTTAACTCGATTCTAATGAGTTTTATTCAATATTTTATTCCCTTCTTTTATTCTGCTTCTCCTCAAAATTAATTTTTTATTTTTTAATTACTAGTTTGTTTTTTTTTAATTATTTATTTTTATTGAACTTGAGTTTAATATCCTTCAAAGATGCGAACTTTGAAGGAAGGATAAATAAAAGCAGAAAATGCGAGTTGTATATAAAATATTTTGTCTTGTGCATTAAGTACTTTTCATTGAGTTTATTTCTCTAGCTAAAAATAAAATTCATAAATTCGGTTAATTATTAGCACGGAATGATCAAATCTTTACTATAGGTAAAATTTTACAATCCACCAAAGATCTTAAAAATCATATTAGTTTTAGGCAAAATTAATAGGTTCCATAAACCTTTTTTTAACAAAAAAAAATCTCAATCTCAAGCATAGTTTAACAAGAAATTATTAAATAAATGATGCTGAATAAAAGTTAATAGGGCAAATAGAACTATTTTTTTAGAACAATACATAAAAAATTCGGATTAAAAAAATAAAATCATATGCTGATTACAACTTTATACACTTAAGTAATAAGGATTATTTACCTAAAACACCATCTTCTAGCTGTATAACACATATTCAATACTCGACTAATTTCTCTGATAGATTTTTCATCTTCATAAAGTACCCTTTTTCCTTTTAGAATGTCCGAGCAATGGGACATTATT